CCCCTCGCCCTCCCCCCCGCAGCGGGAGGCCACGTCCGCAGCCGGGACGCGGAAGCCCGCCGCCGTTTATGCAGCAGCAGGCGGGCGGTCTGCAGGTGGACGGGGGAGGTGGGAGGACAGGCGGGACGGGCTGTCTCCGTGCCCCCAGGCTGAGGTGTGAGGGGGTTTTGGCTTGCGATGTTTTGATTCGTCTCGACGCAAATAGCGTGACACTGGCATTTTGCGCGGCCCCGGGAGCACCCGTGCCGCAGCCACGCTGGCCTGGGCGTACTTTGATTTCCCCGCCGGCAAGCGGGCCTGGGCTCGCAGAGAGGCGGCCTGCCGGCTCCTTTTCCCACGCAGGGCCCCGCGCCCGTCACCGGCCCTTCCTTCCCCTTCTCCACCAAACACAGCTCCCTTCAGCCCAGACCTTCGTGCTGCCTCTCGCACAGTGCCACTGTGGCAGGAGGGGGAATCATTCATTCATTCTTCCTCCTAACATTTTTTCTTTTTTCAGAATTTTGGGAATACCGATTACCTTCTCGTCCTTTTGGCTGTAAAAGAAATGCCCATGCGATTCCCTGGAATAGCATAGGCCTGGCTCTGCATTGGTGTGCCTGCGGCACATGCCAACGCGTGCTCTTTCCCCACGGAGTTGCACTCGGTGTGTGGAAGTAGAATGCACAAACAGTCCAAACGAACCTTTTTACTTGTGTTAGCACTGGAGAAGGGTAATTTTTTTAAACTTTTGTTACTTGCGTATGATTGCACTGTGTTTCAGTGTAAGTCAGTCAGTCACGTGGAAAGGACGAGTCCAGCATTTCCAGACTTGGGTGTATGAAGTTGTGAGGGATGCCTTTGCTTAACGCTTCTGACAATCATCTTTGATGTAGGTGCTTAAAATGCAGCATGCGCGTTGCAACATCACGACCAAAGCCTGTAAATAGCCTTTCATCAGGCCTGCTTGTAAAACCCACATTAAAAAAAGAGATCAATCAGCACTTAGATAAACATGCCCCCATGACTGCTCTGTTTGTTCTTAGTCTCTTGGTACCAACACCACTGTAAAAATATCTGTGAAACAAAGCAGCATTCTAAATACTGACACAAAAAGGCATAAAGTTAACACCTAGAATTCTGCCAGCAGATTCCCCCATGGACTGTAGTATTATTAATGTGATCTGGAAAAGGGATTGTACAATGAAATGGCAGAAATTGCTTCTGCTAATCAGAAGAGTGATAAACTAGTCAATACTAGGGGAGATTGTAGGAAGGGGAAATTATAGAAGGACCTAATACAGCTTTGTTACTGGGCACCAAGATGGAAAAGTACTGAGAGATCTGCTAAAAAAAAAAATCACAACTAATAATAATTGGTAGCTTTCCATCTAAAGAAAGATGGAAAAGTACTGAGAGATCTGCTAAAAAAAAAAATCACAACTAATAATATTTTGTAGCTTTCCATCTAAAGAAATCTTACAAAACATTTGAATATATGTAGTTGGACAGTGACACAGCTTTTACAAAGAAGTACAAACTAAATAATTGACTGTGAAATTTTGTAACGTCTGTTTCTCATTGCTGTCTTCTTACTTACGCTTTGCATTAACTAGGCTTCCACAGTTCTAGTTAGACTAAATGTAGAAACCTTAGCAAGGTTCCTGTTACTGGATTTTTGTTAGTAGACTAAAACCCTAAATGTAATTGGCTACATGCTTTAAAGCCTAAAGCCTATGCCGGTGAAATATTGTAAGTCCCATTTTAAAGATTATTTTGCTTGTATTCTTACTGCTTTTTCATCATTTTAGTCTGTTGCTTACATTAATGAAAGTTAATGGGTTAGTGTGCAACCTAAATTGCTTTAAGGTAGTTTTGAAGTGAATCACTATCAAATTTCTTACGCTTCACTAAGATAATGGCTTAATCTCTCCTCAGTCTTTGTTTACCCACTGTTCCTAAACTAATAATATTTTGTAGCTTTCCATCTAAAGAAATCTTACAAAACATTTGAATATATGTAGTTGGACAGTGACACAGCTTTTACAAAGAAGTACAAACTAAATAATTGACTGTGAAATTTTGTAACGTCTGTTTCTCATTGCTGTCTTCTTACTTACGCTTTGCATTAACTAGGCTTCCAGTTCTAGTTTTAGACTAAATGTAGAAACCTTAGCAAGGTTCCTGTTACTGGATTTTTGTTAGTAGACTAAAACCCAAAAAAATAAATGTAATTGGCTACATGCTTTAAAGCCAATAGAGTATGCCGGTGAAATATTGTAAGTCCCATTTTAAAGATTATTTTGCTTGTATTCTTACTGCTTTTTCATCATTTTAGTCTGTTGCTTACATTAATGAAAGTTAATGGGTTAGTGTGCAACCTAAATTGCTTTAAGGTAGTTTTGAAGTGAATCACTATCAAATTTCTTACGCTTCACTAAGATAATGGCTTAATCTCTCCTCAGTCTTTGTTTACCCACTGTTCCTACCTGACATGCTAAAGCATCCCAACTTTGCAAACACAGAGTGGAAGCTAGATACCTTTACAGTCTTAGGAAATAAAGCAATATGCCAAATTTTTCTTTGCGTTGGAACTTTCAGTGGCACATCTAGCACCTCCAAATGGAAAACCTGAAGAACTTTCTGGGAACTGTTGCTGTAAACCTGTAGAGTAAATACTGTCTAAATAAGTCGCAGGGATAATCTGTTTGGAATTTTAGTTCTCTGTATATGCATTTGTACAGAAATAGGGTAGTGTCTAATATGGAAATTGATAAAGGTCAGAACTTACTAGAAGAAAATGAATTTTCTCAGGCCCGGTGCGGTCAGATCTGACTTTGAAGGGAGTGCCTCTGTGTGTATGTGACAAATCCCGGTGCCACAAATGAGCCATTGGTCCACACTGCCGGATTCTTCCTCAATGGCAAACAGTTTTACAGAGCTGTGGTAGGTGGAGGCCATGGTATTTTGTTAGCCTAGGCAACTGCCTTCCCTGCTTCTGTCTAGAACCAACCTAGACAGAGGACTTACTTAAATGAAATAAGGCCCCTTCAATCCTTTTTGAGTGAACATACAAATTTCTTATTAATTAGAATATTCTAAATAGAGTCTTCTCTCCTCTGTCACAGTGTTATGTGAAGAGCAAAAATAAGCGGCTTAATGTCGCTCCTGATGTAACAGAGAAAACACGTACTTCAAAAAGTTGAATCTAATTTACTTCAAGAAACATTGAAACTTCCTGCCTTTTATGCAAATATAGTCCTTCTAAATGTTTCTAACCTGCCTTTCAGATTGCAGAAACTGAAGGAGATGTTTATATCAAAATTTGGATCGGCTCCCAAGTTTTATGTTCGTGCACCAGGGCGAGTCAACTTAATAGGTAAAAGAGAAAAAATAATCTTCTGTTATTTTATTTTGTCTGCCATCATGGAAGCCTAGTAGTTTGAAACATAGAATCAAAATAATGTCTTAATTTTATTTTTTTCAGAGAAGTTGCTTGTGATGATAAATGGAAAAGAGAATATAATACTTTACTAGCTTTTACTACACCTTGTTATAAACAACTGCACGCTTAAATATCAGTTTTGGAAAAAACATTTACAGACAGTAGTGATGGTTTTGAAAATTGGAGTAACTTGCCAGCTTATGGTTGGATACCATTTTTGTGAAAGGCTTTGGAAATCTAATCTAAAGTAGTTGATGAACAGTGCATCCACAAATTAAACTAGTATATTTTTTTCTCTTCCATTATAACTTAAGTTACCAGATATAACCAGCCGCACAGCAATGCATATGATAAAGTATGACATGATTCTACCATCATCTCCTCTTCTTTACTCTTCCACAGAGATGTGTCCACAGAACTTAGAACAGTTGGTTGTGATTCACTGGCAGACTGGAGAGACACGATTATTTTGTATTTAGGACTTACTTGCATTTCTTATTTTTGAATATGAATATGAATGGCAGCCTTATTTTTGAAATTTCTCTATGTTAGGATTGCACTCTCCCTGGTGCTCAATTTCTTGTATATTCATAAAGTAACCCTACACATTTGAAGACATTGTAAATAAAAGGATCCTGCAAAACAGAGTTTTAAAAATTAATTAGTCCATTGTGCAATTAATGATAATTTTTGTCTCAGTGTTGTGTGAATATATCATACAGATTAAATAGACAGCATATGATAACTGGGAATTATTCCCAAGAGAGAGGATGTTTACTACATACATTTTCCATTTGAATGTTACTTTATGTGTTCTATGTAACTATATTAATGATTATTTAAATACAATTATTATCTTCTTGGAAAAAGGTCCAGAAGTTTTATGGAAAAAAAAAATTTCCACCACAAGCCTTATCTAGTGGCTAATGAATCACCCACGTGAGCAGAGGAAATCACATAATGAACAGTCTTTTGCAGTCATCAGTTAAATGTGATTGATTTGACTTAATTTTTTGTACTGTCACAACAGTGTACAAATGATGTAGTCGTTCTCATTGCTGGACAATAATCTACATAGTGTTCTTTTAATTTTTACGAGCCAATGTTAAAACATGAAGATTTATAAACAGATGCAATAGATAAAATCACTAAAGAAAGAACTAAATTTTTGTGCAGTAATATGAAATGAAGGAAATGCACCCCAAACTTTAAATAATAAGAGTTGAGACTGTACTCAGAAATTGTCTTGTACAGTAAACAACACTGAAACCCTGTAGAAGCCCTGTTACTGCTATTCTAGAAAGAATTATTCAAAAATATTTCAATTGTCTGTTTCTCTGGTAGGAGAACATATAGACTACTGTGGTTATGCTGTGCTCCCTATGGCTATAGAACAAGATATACTGATTGCGGTAGAACCTGTAAAAACTCAAGTTGTGCAACTGGCAAATACCAATTCTTTGTACTTGTAAGTAATGACTTTGTTTATTCACTAATTTTTATGAACCTTTTTATGCAATTGCAATGCAGGTTAACTTTTCAGAGATCTGACAAACTTCCATTGCAATATAGAGTTTAATTGTGTAAAATTAATGATATAAGCAGATGGAATCCCATTGACTCTATACTGTGCACATTAGTTTAGAGCAATAGGTTCGCTGCTTGTCTCCCACCTGTTTGTTCAGATTTCTCTTGTGAGACCTCTGATTTTTCAATCTTTCTAAAAGTGCAATCCTGTCTTCCCTTCTTTTAGCTCATCTTTCCTGATGTAATCCCCATAATTGGCAGCAGTTCAGTTTCTCCTGGAGAAGTGAGTGAAATGTTTTGTAATCAATTACTGCATATGTAAGTTCACACTCCTCTGCTCTGGAGAACCTGGGGCTGTATTTTCACAACACAACAGCTTTAGCAACAATCCTGGCTCAAAGAATCTCTATTCCCCCTCTTCCACTTCCTCCACAGCTGCTTGTTTACAGAATCATAGACTAATTTAGGTTGGGAGGGACCTTTGGAGATCCCTTGTCACCATCTTGATGGCCTTGTGCTGGACTCCCTGCAGTTTGCTAATGTCTGTCTTGTATTGGGAAACTCCAAAACTGGACACAGTATTCCAGCTATAGTCTCACAAGTGCTGAACATAGGGAAATAATCCTGCCATTCGTTTCATCTTCAGCCACATTTTTCTGCCTCCTTCCTCGTAACAGACTGATACTTGTGTGGTTGCATGGCAGTTCAGATGAGGTCACTCATCCACATGAACTTTTGTGGGCATTTTGCAAAAATCAGAATCAGCACAAGCTTAGTTTAAGCCATTTTTATTAAGCCATTGGTTTAAGGCAGTGGTAAATTACTCCCTGAAAGTGCAGTGTATGGCAGCACAGGGACAGGAACATATTGCCTCAAGTGGGAACTATTTAAGCACATACTCCTGCTTAAAGCTCAGTTTGTTATAAAAACATGTTCTGAGCTGCTGCCTGTGACTAAGACAGTTGAAAGGAATTCTTACTTCCGTGGCAAGTATAAATACTCAAATATTTTTCACTCACTTTGTGGGGTATGTTTTCACATTATAGCTGGGCTGAATTAAGAGTTTGCCACTGCCAAAAGGCGATGGCTTGCTTCTTTTACCCCTAGTCTCCCTGTCCCTGCTTCTAACATCGATCCATCCTCTGCCTTTTACCAGGTGTAGTACTTGTCTGACCTTAAGGTAAAGTGTACTATTCACCCATTTTTTGCCTGGTTAATTTTCTGTCATTTTAGTGAATTGAATTGCCATGCAGTCAGCACTGAAGCTGACTTGGGATAAACAGTGGGAATGTGCAGTGGTGAGCAGGGGGAAAGGAAATGGAAGTCGTGAGCGGGACCTTTCCCTTTCTTTAATAGCAACCTACAACAGGCCTTAAGCTGTATTGCAAAACCAGTCTGCAAGAGGCGATAGTTCCAGAATTATAATAGCTTTGATTAGGAAAAGTTGTTACAATGTATTCTAAATAAAGCAGTAACCAAAAGGTAAACATTTTTACTTGGTCTTTAAGCTTTGACACATTACATCGCAATTGAAATGGCCTTCTCCTAAGGTACATACAGTTCCTACCAAATCTAGAATTACAGCCTTTGAATTCAAACATATACAATCACTATATTTTTATATCTGCCCTGGTTTCAGTTTGAAATCATATATTTTAAACCATAAACCAAGAAGAGGTCTCAGAATACAGCATTAAGCATCTCTGTTTTGTTGAGACACTGTTGCTTAAAAACAAAGCTAAAACATGCCCATAATTTCATAACAAAGAAATAGTTTTCAACACTTTAAATGTTACACCACATAACAAAACTGTTGACAGTGTATCTTTTTTTCTCAGCCTGTTACACTGGTAGATTTATGCCTGTGGTGAATGCATATATATAGGCCTTTGGTGAACAAGGACTAACCATAAGCCTCTGTAGAATCACTATTTCCTACTTCATTCTTGTTTTGCGAACTGGTAAAATGTTTAACAGTTCTGTAGCTCTCTTCCACCCTGATAGTTCATGTTAACTTTTAGGAAAAACAGGGCACCTATGTGTTTTTCATCATAAATCATCCCAACTGATCAGATGCCTTTTATGTTATTTGGGCTAAAACAAGATTCAAAAGTTACAGTCTTTTGAAGTTCCCGATACCTCCCCTTCACATAACATCTTTGTAATTGAGAAGTACGTGTACAGAGAATATCTGACATGATACTTCTCAAAATGCCTTCAGAAATACCAGAGGATGAGAATTATCAATCGGTTTCCATCTCGTGGCAAAACCTGAAAATCTTTTTTTAAAAAAATCAGGTTTTTTTTTACAGAGGACTCAAACAGATAAACTAACAGATTGACAAGACAATGAGGTTCTGTGAGAAAGAGCCAACTTGGTCTCCCAAAAATAAGGATTAATTGCTATTCAAGCAGTAAAAAACCCCTCAGCCACATGTTTTTTTCACGCTACTCAAAAAACTCACCTCTTCTAATTACACAGAAGAATTGGAATGCTTATATCTAGCCTTGGAGGAAGGGCAAGCTTTCCCAAGAATCCTTTAAAATAGAAAGGCTGGAATAGACAATATCAGAGTATTTTTACTTTATGGGTATGTTTTGCCCAATTTTTTATTTTATTTTATTACAAAATTTTTATATCAAACTGCCTACCTTCCAGTAGGAGGATTGACGGCAAGACTGAAGATTTACCGATTTAAGATAAAGCTTGGGCATTTAGGAATTAGTTTTTATAACAAATTGAATGTGATAACAAAAAAAATAGACTTAAGGATTCTGGGAATCTTGACAGTCCCACATTCTGTGTTTGTGTGAATTATGTCCATATGAAACCTGCCAAAATCAAAGCCAGTTTTTCTTTCATTTTCTATGTGAGAAGATCGCAGAAATGAGCAAAATGCATTTTAAGAACTCATTATTTTAATTTATCTTGAGAACCAGCAAATATAATCATAGTATATGTCTTCTTGTTCATTGAAGTGTTACTTTGTATGATTGTATAAAAAGAATTTTGAAGATAAAATATTTTAGAACTCTTTTTTGAGGGAAAGAGGACTTCAAATTTGCTTTCTGTTAATTACTTTTACACATTGTTTTCTCTCAACCTTGCTTTTTAACAGTAATTATTTAGGGTTATTGTAGAAAACAAGCATAAGCAAACGTCTTCTTGTTCATTGAAGTGTTACTTTGTATGATTGTATAAAAAGAATTTTGAAGATAAAATATTTTAGAACTCTTTTTTGAGGGAAAGAGGACTTCAAATTTGCTTTCTGTTAATTACTTTTACACATTGTTTTCTCTCAACCTTGCTTTTTAACAGTAATTATTTAGGGTTATTGTAGAAAACAAGCATAAGCAAACACAAGATTTTTTTATTCTTCATGACTTTTGACAAGTATTTTCTACTTTACAAGTACTTCTGGTTTTTTGATTATATTCAAAAGCCATAAGCAAAATGATGTTGTTTTATTCTCTGGGAGATTGTTCTAAATACACATGAATCTCAAATTGGAAGAATTTACAGGTATTCTCAAACTTTCCTTGTGTTATAATCTCAATACTCCCTTTCAGATCTTTCGTGTTACTCTACAAACCCCTGTAATTTCTGACACTAACTTTGTACAATTCTTTGATGCTGCGTTGTTGATAAAGTCCTGTAAGTGGCACTATTTTGAACAGTTCAGATTGAAGGACAGCAACTTATATGTTAAACTATACACCAATCTCTGATATTTCTGCACTGTATTGAATGTTGAAATTGAATGTATAACTGACAAAATGGTAATTCTAAGTTGATACTTAAAGGGTAAGATCTGTCATGTAACATTGAGCTAGGAATAGGTTGTAGACTGGTAATACAAGTGGAGTAGCTCACTATAGCATAGCTAGCATTAGACCATATGAAGAGGAGGCAGGATTGTGGGTCCATTTTTACACTGGTTGTCAGGTTTGGGGGTTGCATAATACAAAAATTGCAGCCTTTAATTGCACCAGAATAAAGTGAAGTTTTCAGCCATCATTTGAAGACAATTATGTCATTGTAAAGATGCTTTATATTAATATAACTGTTTCTCCATAGGTAACAGAATACTTAACCGATAAAAACACCTTCACACTGGTATTCGTTACAGGTGAATTACAATTACTAGCGATATTATTTTGGATAAAAATAAAAACAGCACTTCACTAACCTACATAGTTTACAAATACAGAACTGGGACTAGCGTAAGACAAGAAAAACTCCATCCTTTTAGGAGTCGCAGACTGTCCCCTGCTGTATAATTTATTGGAAGTGTTTTTATTCCCATTAAACCTAAATATTTCCAGGGAATTCAGCTGCCTCTGTTCATATTGTTTGGCAGACCTTGACTTGTAAAGCACAGCTTAGCCTGCAACTTTTGAATATTTTTTGTTAGGTTTTCTTGACATTCTCAGTGCCTTTCCTATTTCTGTGTTGGGCATCTGCTGTACTGACATCAGGTAGATACAGTTATTGGGCGTTCAACAGTATAGACTTCTAAACAATCTGCACTTGGTGATTAATGCATGCTCCTCTGAGGCCTCTGCGCACCACTCCATGCCCATTTTGACAGCACCTATCTGTAGCATTAGTTTCTTCAGGAACATTGAGGCTTACCATTTTTATTATTTCGAAATGAAGATGGTGTAGGAAAACCATTATCAGAATTATCCTGGAGGAAATAGATAAACTATTTTAAACTAAATTAGTTTAATTATCTCTTGTATCATACATAATATAATTTTGCAGCATTAGGCCTGTTCTAGTGAAGTGCATTCAGAGCAAAGGTAATGAAGATGAATTCCTGAGCAGGGATTACCAGAGAGCCTGGAGTGTATTTATCTCTATTCTAGGTTTGACAGACACGATTATTTAGATTTTCACTTCTCTAAGAGATCAAGAGAACATAGACACATGTGATGGAAGGCATGCTGCCTTAATTAAGGATGCCAAAGGCAGTTTAATTTCTGATTTTTTTTGATAAATTCTATAACTTAAGCGGAAATTCTTACGCTTCCATCTAAAATATCCTTATAGAATTGATTAATAAAGAAGATCTGTACAAAAAACCCCGAAAAACATTGCACTGAAAAAAATTAACATCAAAATGTTTTTGTTCATCAGCAGGTGGCGGTAATAAGCCATGTTTTTTCAAACTAAATTTACTGACAAGTTAAAGCTTCAAGGTTTTTCTGTTTTTGCAGGGATTTCAGTACTAGTGTTAATAACATTCAGATCAACAAAACCAAACCTCAATGGCATAACTACTTCCTGTGTGGACTGAAGGGTATTCAGGTAAGCCAAATCTGTTTAACTTATGAAATTAATGTAGAAGTAAAATAAAACAAGCATAGCTATTCACCCTCACAATACTTCCCTGCATTCTATAGCTTTTCTTGACATACAGTTAAATATCTTTATGTTAAAATTTGAAGGGGAGATATGAGTGGGTTTGTTTTAAAATATTTGCAGAGCACTATTTTCATCTTTATTACATAAATTACAATAGCGAATAATTATTTAGTAAAGTCATGACCAAACTCATTATCAAGATGACATTTCTGTATTTTGAAGTTAGAAAGAATGCTTTCCCATGGAATCTAATTAAAATTTGGTTTTAAAAAGGTTTGGAGGCTTGTCTGTCAGGACACAAAGATCATATTTTAGCCATTTTCTTCCTATGGAAACATTTTAAAAAACATTAATTTCCATTAGTGTTGGAAACCTACAACTTGCGCAGTTGTGCAAAACAACTGAGTGAAGCTGACTCATGCAGTAGGCAAAAGAAAATGTAAAAAGTAAGTAAACAGCATACAAAAGAAATATTCCAGTAAGAGCCGTTACTTATCCAGATTTTCAGCATGTGGAATTTGAATGGGATTTTCAAAATTTCCTGAGTTAAGAGTGCAGCTATGCAGGAAACGGCACACGTACGGTAATGGCAGGAACACTGAACAGACAGACATTTTCTTGTCTGCTCATTTGAGCTTTATCTTCTCCTTTGTGAGCTAGCCTGTCTCCAGACTGACTTGAAGACTGAACTGCTTGTGAAACCAAGTGCTGATCGTCAGTGTTGTCCTGGGAGGCAGCCTGATCTCACAACTGAGGCTTCCTATAAATCTCACTTGCTGTTTGCAGGTGATTCATGGCCCTTTGAGGAAAAAACATGGTGACTTCTCAGCTCGATGTCAATCCAGTGATATTTCTGGAAGGGCAGATGGGATAAACAGTGATGGCTAGGTCAGGAACAGGTCGCCACAGCCAGCCCCAATTATGGGTAAATGTGCTTTTTAAAGCACATGAAGCTTTTCTCAGGATAGGCCACCTAGGTCACCCCACAGGACGATCCAATAGATAAGGACTGCAGACAGCCAACAAAGCCTGCCTCAGACCTGCCACCGGAGTCTTCAAAATACAATATTTGGAACAATCAGTGCCACAAATCACTTTATTACAATCCACAGTTCCTAAACAGACCCCCGCCCCTATGTTTAGACCCCAATAAATTACTTAGGTTTGCAGTAACATGAGTATTTTCAATTTTGTATTGCTCGGTAACACAGGCGTTTAAATTGCATTGACTGTAGAGATATAGATTAGGTTTCTTTACAATATATCCTTTCTTATATTAAGGCTAGCATGACCAATTGACTTTATTTATTTTGCAGTCTGCTACTGAGATTTGTTTCCTAAGGACAAGCTTTCATACTTGAAGGTTAATTTGCAAAGCAGGTTTGCAGACTCTAGCACTGGCAGAAAATAAGCATAAATGTTACAGACTTAAGAAACACTGAAATACAAGTACTCAGAGGGTCCAGCGGGATAATCTGTTTATATTAAGTTGAACATGCTATCCTTTTGGGACAGAACTATTGCAGAACTTGGCAAAGTCCATTTTCATTTTTGAAACTGAAGTACGTTTTCTATTTAAACATTGCGTGATAAGTTTGCAAGCCTGATTCACATTCAAGACAATCCAGAAACTGTGGATCAGTTTCTGGTTACTCAAGCATTTTCTGTTTTTGAACAAGCCTGTCTAGTGTTCTTCATGAAGGGGCATGGGCAGCAATAGTATTTCAGGTATGAATTCCCTTATATTTGTAGAAAGGGAAATTTAAAATAATTTGAAGTGGTGGTAGAAGACATTAAAGGAGGCTCTTTGTGTTTGCTGATCTCTACCATTGGTATTTGGTTGAAGTTGTTTCAGGAAAAGTAGTAGAAATCTTTCGACGGTGGGCATTTCTTGATGGAAACACTGCCATTTTTTCTGATTATTGACATTGTAACATAGTTTATTGACATATAAATCTGTATCAGAATGTAGCTATTCATATACCCCCATATACATTCAATGATTTTTTAATAAGTACTGCATGTTTATTTCCGACTAACAGAAGAGAGAAATTTATATTAAAGTGATTATAAATAAAAGACAAAGCAACCAAAGACTATAATTAAAAGAGTATGTACACGAGGATTTATGACCTGGATTAAATGTATTATCTGTGATATCTATCATGTATGTAAAAATATTTTAAACTTTATTCTAAAAATAGCATGACAGAGATCATCACTGCTGGTAAGTATGTCTTTGTGCCTCCTAAAGCACAGTGTCCTTCAAGTACCATTGTGGTTTTGCAACCAAAGAGTATAATTAAAAGAGTATGTACACGAGGATTTATGACCTGGATTAAATGTATTATCTGTGATATCTATCATGTATGTAAAAATATTTTAAACTTTATTCTAAAAATAGCATGACAGAGATCATCACTGCTGGTAAGTATGTCTTTGTGCCTCCTAAAGCACAGTGTCCTTCAAGTACCATTGTGGTTTTTCAGTGTCAGTCCTGTGGGTGCTTCAGGAGATTGGAGTATCTGGCTTTGAATACAGCTGCATGGCTACTAGTTCACCATCAGCATGTTGTAGCTCCCTAATACCACATAGCAGCATTAGAAGTGAAGCATAAAGTGGACCTTACGCTCTTCAGGATGCCTTAAGTGAGGAGCTGTGGAGAAAAGGACAAAAGTAGGGTATAAAATGATTGGTAACCTCTGGTACTGTCACCATGGCAGCTCAGAGCAGAGCCAGTTGCTGCAAAACCCACCCACGAAGCTTGGTAAATTCTTGGGCGTTTAGCCCACAGTGAATTCTGCTTGGGGTACAGTTCTGTCAGCTCATATATGTTTGTGTACAGGAATTGCAGACATACCTTTGGCTGAAGCCCTACCATTGGCTTTGTTCTTAAGGAATAGAATGAAGATTTTGCTTTATTTTGGAGATACCAGAAGCAGGTCCTTGGTTCCAGCAACTCAGCAGAAAGATTCTCTTTCTAAGTATCAGATAATTGCAAGCCTGAGCCTGTCTGTACTTGAAACTGAAATTGTTTATTTTTTCATTGTTAGGAACATTTTGGTCTTAATAACCCAACTGGAATGAATTGTCTGCTAGATGGAACCATCCCTCCAAGTTCTGGTCTCTCTAGCTCCAGCGCTTTGGTGTGCTGTGCAGGACTCGTGACACTAAGAGCTAATGGAAAAACCCTCTCTAAGGTAATTTACTGTAAAACACGAGAGTGTCAGCAGTAAAATTCTACTTAAAATTAAATATTGTTAATGCCTGTAAACATTAAAAACACGATACAATTGTTTTTGCAAAGACTTGTTGGATATAAACTTAAGATATTGCACAATTGAGCAAACATCTTTGGCCAAATTTTGGCAGGATTTGAATTTGGCAAGAAAACAGGCTTACATTAAAGCTGAAAAAAGGAGCATTATTGTAAGCCTGTATTTTGGCCAACCATCAGGTCCATGCCTGGACCAGATGTGCTATCTGCAGGCCAGGACTGAGGATATATGTGCTGAAGCATGTGGACCACACCCCCGAGGCCTTTACCCTCTCCCTGAATGACTTTTCATGGCTTTAATAGCAGAGCATCTGTTGGAGGCCTGTGGAACAATTTCTTGATAAATTATATAATCAGCACAAAGCAGAGGTAAAATTCTTCCATCTGACTCTCCTTATTCTCTTCACAGTTTTTTTGGAATGAACATATTTACAATCCAAAATGTATTCCTTACTTTTTTAGACAAACATTAGTCTAAAAACAAACCCCAAGTATGTGACCTGTTAGCAGTACAACTGTTAGTAGAATTTGGCTCGTGTAATACAAATTTCTGGAGGAGTCATGGTCCTTGAAGGTGCCATATGGGAATGAAGTTCTCTCCAGTAAAAATGTCTGGTTAAGTGAAACTAGGATCTTAAATTAGAACATTGTCAGGAAGAGAAAAGAACAGATCTAAATGTGACTGTTATGCATATTTGTGCCTATTGTCTAAGGCAGACATTCCCAAATTATGGTACAAAGCCAACTTAAAGTGGTACATGATGATGGCAGCTGTTAACTGTGCTTGTATACAAGCACTTCTCTGAGCCATGAGGTAAACAGATACACACAGAAGGTTTTTGCTGATCAGTTGTGACTTGCTTCTCTATGTAGCTGCAGCTGCAGCAATCCGCTCAGCAGTAAGAGCTCCGTCCCACATTGCACAGCTCACAGTGCTCGCTTCAGGAAGGTATCAAGCCAGGTTAAGGCAGCAAGAAGCAGGATTGATGAGGCAGGGTGGCTTTTTTGTGTAGGAGGATGTGGCTACAATCACTGTCACCCTACTTTGTGTTGGTGTGATGTGTGGTCAAAAGGTAAGTAAGGGACTGGATGCTTAACAGAGGCTCTAGTTTGTGAGGTGAGACGTGTAGTGCAATGGTAGATGAAAACATGGAATTGAGGATCCCACTTTGATGAATCAGACTTTGCAGTAAGAGGGTTGGAGGTGACAGACGTGCTTTTTTATACACATGTACCTGGCCTGGCAAGAAGCTTCTGGTTTTGCATAGATGGTCTTATCACAGGTCAGCACCATCTCTGATGGTGGTAACCAAATGAGCTAAGCTTGGGAACTACTGATCAGAATCACTGGAGTGCATGTGTTCAGAAATTGGGTATCTGCAAAATCCATAAAACAGACAGAGGTCAGAAAGCCCAAATTTTACTAGGTAGTAGAAATCTGTATCTGGAAAACCAGAAGCCAGGTTTTCATTATTCCAAGAAATGCTGCACAGCTTTCTTCAGAGAATAAATGATACAGCCTGTAGCTTGAGCTGAATTTACACACGTCTTGGGAGTACCAGCCGGCATTATGCCAGACCTGTTCTAAAGAAAGGTGCAAAACTCCTTTTGGCATTTTCATAGAAACTTGTGGAGGAACAGAAGGAAGACACAGACTCCACTGAATGTCTTTCCTTCTCCTCATGTGTCCTGTTCAATCAACCCAAAATCTCTTCTGCTTGCTGGTTGGAAAATGTGCTGAAAGTTAATCTTGTGTCTCAGATACAGTTGGACAAACACAAAAGACACAATTGCACATTTTTGTCAGGAAATCCTGGTGTCTGCAGCCAAATATTTAGCACTTGTGATGAAAAATGAGCAATTAATGTACAGATGAGAATTCCCAATAGCCGACATAGGAGCACAGTTAAGAACATATCCAAGGTTTTGTGTGCTTGCATAGACCAAGACACCTGGTTGTGGTGGTTAAGACAGAGGATGACAGCTCTGAAGACTGATTACTTTTGTCCAGGCTCTAAGTTTCCCCAAATCTTACAGGACAGTAAAAACAAGCTCAGTGTTCTTGGCTAATTTATGATTTAGCATTAGAGACCTCTTATATCTAGCTAAATCCAGATTCTCTGTTGCACTGAATTTATGCTTAGCCTTGCAGAACCGCCTTGTATAAGGCAGAGCTAGTCTGAATATAAATTAGAGCAATCTAGGCATGTGGGCCCTCAGAAGTATAAAACGTGCTCTGGCCACTTCTTTCCAGCTCCTAATGCATCCTGTGCTGGTGTCAAATGGTATCTGTGCAGGATCCAGTAATGCTGGCTGTGTATCAGCTGGGAGCTCCCCCATGGCAGGGGAATTCTTAGCTGACCAGAAGTAGGGGCTTTCCAGATCCTTTCTACTAGAAAGCAAACCAGGACCTTGCATTTTTAGGGCTCTGGATATTTATGTGTTTGTTTATTTTTAAGGAAGAAATAATCACTTTACCTCTCCCCTCCATCTCTTTTTTTTAAATGCTTAAGAGTTGCGAAAGTTGTAAATGGTAGTATTTATAAGTAACAATATTTGGTCATGGTGGTGATTTCGTGAGAAAAGATTGACTTTTTGCCCCTCATTAGTCTGATGGACTTTGCAAAATCTTAACAGGATGGTCTGTAGCAGCAGGACATAGAAACTTTTGGCTTTGGAATCAAATTTGGCTGAATGGTAGTGCTTCTGTAGCCAAAGTTATGAAAAATTGACCTTTTACTGAATGGAACATTTATCTGTTTTGTTTCTGTGAAACTATTTTTATGAGAATATTTGAGTTATATGCTCTTTTTCCTGATAAATGTAAGTTTAAAATAGTAGCTGTAGAGTAAAAGTCGTTGAAATTTAGAACTTTTATGAGATAACACTTCCAGTGTGAAGTTTGGGCCTATGAGATTAAGAGCCAAAAAAAAACAAACCGAAAAATATTGTAAAAGCATGGCTAGAATTTCATGGTGGCTTACTTTAAAAATAGCACTTTTTTGACATTGAAAACAAAATCAGAAAAAAAAAATGCTCTCACTAATTATTGTGTGTAGCAGTCTGCAATAGGGCATTGTTTCAGTGTGCATACAATATTTTTTTTTTAAAAACCCATCACACACATACACAATAGTTTAAGGAAAATACCAGTCCAAGACAATTCAGCCAGATGTGCAGTGCTAACCAGTTGCAGCAGTACAATAGCATTCAAATAACAAGATGGAAAATTCAGAATGCGATCTTTAAAAAGAATCCATTTTTCTCCTCCAAACAGGATACCAGTCTAAGACTGTGTTGGCATCACTCAAAGAACAGCAATGCTCAGTATTACCTTTTGATTTTAAAGTGATTTTTATTTTACTGTTACAAAATCAATCTTGTGTACAACTTTTCATCAGGAGAAGATACTTTTTGTAAAGGAAATAGAATAATGCTCTAAATTGTCCCAGCTTTGTGTTTCATGGTAGGAATTAATGAGTACAGAAAATCACTCACTACTTGTGAATAACTAGATTTACTTGAAAGGTGTTATGATAGTGTTGCTGTCCAAATGTTAAATCTTGTGGTACTAAGTTCTGTTCAGCCACCCTAACATTTTTTCTGTTGCTCAAGGCTGGGCAGCTGTGCACATACTTACTGGGAAAAATAGATCAAAAGCGAATAGGGTTTATTTAATTTAAGGTGAAATGTTGAGCCTAGGAAGTTGAATTATATTTGGCTCTATCTAGACTGAGAAAAATCTAAGTCAGACAGAATGATAAATAAAGGACCTAAATCTAATCTGTAATGGCACAGCGTTCATTGGCTTCAGTTTTCTCAAACTATGGCTCAGATGAATTTGAGTGTGGGATTTTCAAAACATTCAACATCGTCCTGTATTTAAACAGTTACAATACCTGGTAATGTCATTGATTACAGTGGGAGAATAGATAGGCCAACTGGAATCCTTTCTACTTTGTTTCTGAAGCCTGTATATAATAAGGAAAACGCTTTAATTGAATACTTTACCACTTCCTAATAATTTTTCTGATGTGCAATAGGGCTTCAATATCTAACTATCTGGCAAGAAAATCTGTGAGTGTTCATATTGGTAGTGTGACTTTGAAATTAGTAATGTGTGCTCATAATACTGGTTAGGATTCTTTTATAATATTGCTGCATCGAAAATGTTTGATAGATGCACGCTCAGGTTATTTGTATGAGAAACTCAAATTGCTTACACAAAAAATGGTACATAGATATTGTATTTTACATCACTGTTAATATTGAGAAACGTTACAGTTCCTTTCTCCCTGTAGAATTAAAAACCAGGGTTCTTTAACTTGTTAAGTTTGACTATGTGTGTTTGTAATCAAGGGGAAACGGAGTACTTTGGAGCAGTGGTAATCAAAGGCCGTAATCTCTCATCAACCAAATTGATAACCTTCTATTTGAGCATGTTAGAGGGCAGACGAAGTCAAGCTAAGATTCCTGTGCTTATGAGGACATCCAGATACTATCTGACAAATATTTTCCCATTTTGGAAAAAAGTAAGCATAATTACCTTGCAAAACATATATGAAGTTTAGCTAATTGAGATTTTGTATGCAAACTGGAAGCAGATGGTAACTTTCAGCAGTCTATTCCTAGTCAAGACCAGATACTAAAAATACGGACATTCCTGGTGGTAAAAATAACCTCAAAATTTGGGCATCATTTTATACCTTAATGAATGAAACATAGTGTCTTATATTTCAGAAGGTATTTTCGTACATATATACATAAGTACAAAACATGCACAGATTAAAAAAAAAATCAACATCTAACTAGACTTTCAATATGCCTTAAGTGATGGAGAATGTTTTCTTCTTACTGTAAAATACTCATCTTTATCTATAAATGTTTCTTCTCCATTTTCAGTCCTGTGTGCTGTGAAACAAA